CCGGCCGGTGTTCGAGCGAGCATGCGCTGCTTAGGGGGCGCCTTGAAACCGCGAGCGCCACCTGCCGCGTGGGGTGAAGCTACGCAACACTTCTGTAAATTTTTTATGTTCTGTAAACTATCGACCAGGACGGTGCTGAACAACGGGAAACAACCCAAAAACGTAGAACTCCGTACACGTATTTTGAAGTAGAAGAGTGGTGGACGAAACTGTGGAAGAAGGGAAATGAATGGGCTACGCTGTAGTTCCCAAGAGTACATTGAGTGAGGTGACTGGCGGTCGGTGTCTTGGGTACGGCCGTACGTACGGCGGGAAAAAACATCTCTGTGGTTCCGGCAAGCGGAGCCGCACGGCCGTTTCCACGAACGTCACATCACGTTTTCTTCTTCCTCGTCATACCTACTCACGTAAAACGAGACCGCCCGTGCAAGCATTCGCTCAACGCGGCAGCGAGTCGCACGCAATCCTCGCGCCGAACGCTGAAAACTCGTAGCGATGAGCGCCTTGGTCGGTGAGCCGATGAAATCCTCAATAGTTGTCCCTCCCTCTCTCATTATCTCTCCCCCTATCTCTTGCGATCTTCTTCCTACCCCGCAAAACCGAAGAAACGAAAGAAAATAGGCACTCCGGCTTCACGGTGGGAGTCCTAATATACGGCGATATCAACAAGGCGGTTGTCCGATCTAAGGTGACTGCAACTGGCACCAGTCTGATCCTGTATTAGACGGTGTCAGCAATGCATTATCCAGGCTGGACCCTAATTGCCAGGTGGCAACTACATAAACGCAAGCTCGAATTAATTCGGTGACCACAGTCACGTAACCTGTTTGGGGACGCTTGTCTTTCTGTAATGAAAGGGCCCTAGGGGAGGGAAGAACATGAGGAGAGATAATGATCGTGCCCTTGTGCACATGAGCGACAACTACCGTGAGAACTGTCTCCAGTTTTCTCACTCGGTATAAGCTGCCCCCCTTTTCAGGGGGGCAGTTGGCTTGTGAGACGGAAGGCGTCCGCGTCAGTTGGACCAGTACGTACATTAGAAGGAACTCAGTGAAGACCGGCACGAGTTAATTAATGTGCAGACAACAATTCACGGCGGTAGCGTCCAGTGGTCAGCTTGGATCACTGACATTTTGTACATCCCTGGTCGATTCTTACTCTATAGACTTTACCGTTGCTTGTTCTTATCGGCTACAAGATATTGGAGGATTCTTGATTTTCCGATATTCCTCTGTTGCCTCCGCTACGTTCTCAGTGTCGTTAGACCACATCACGTGTCTCTGGGTCTGTCGACATCTCCCACTTCGTCATGTCCAGTTGGGCGTAACACGTCGATGCATGCAATAGAATCAACAGCAAAACAACAGGAAGGAGTGTATCGCTGTCAATAATATGTTCTACCCTTCCCCATGATTGACGACCAAAGCCCCCAAAAGCGTTAACGTATTTTTTCTTTTTCGTCTTCACTTTATATCAGCGCTCACANACAGCAAAACAACAGGAAGGAGTGTATCGCTGTCAATAATATGTTCTACCCTTCCCCATGATTGACGACCAAAGCCCCCAAAAGCGTTAACGTATTTTTTCTTTTTCGTCTTCACTTTATATCAGCGCTCACAGCACTAGCGCCGTTTACTCCAACCCGTGGTCACACAGAAGAGCCCCTCTCTATCCTCCCCTCCTGCAGTACTTTGCCTTTGATTTTAATGCGAGAAGAGTTCAGCACTCTCTTCCCGCTGTGCACACACGAACTAGCGCTATCCACTGGGTCAGGAGCGGAAGCGAGAGAAAAACTCACGTTGCAAGAAAAGTTCGCTTACGCCGGGGTTCGAACCCCTGACCTGAGCTCTGGCAGGTTGCGAGGATACCAACAAGACCACCGGGGCGACCGGCGGTACGGTTGGAAGCAACCAACGGTGCAAAGCGCCGAAAAAGCGCGCGGCACACACAGCTGAAGACAAGGTGGTCGCCGGGGGCACGCCCGCACGGGGGGCGGGGGCAGGATACTATTCCGAGAAATGGTTCCCGGTAGATGCTCCTCGTTCTACGCATCTTCACCTCTAAATAGTCCATCGTCTCAGGGGTTTTGGCCACCCCTGCCGCCAGCTTGTCATCAGTTATCTTTGGGCGGATGGGCGGGAAAACTTTCAACATATGCGGCGCCCAGTAGCGCTATTTTCTGCAGCATCTCAAGTTTGTTTTTCGTTGCTCAATCACATGCGAAGGTGTTGAAAAGCCACGACGACGCTGTGGCTGCCTCATTCTCTGCAGGTTCTGCCATCCCCTTTGTTCCTATCCACCCGTTCGCCCCTCTTTCGTTGAACGGTATTTGCTTTTTCTCTCTCCTCTCTCTGTGCTTATCAGCTCCATTCGTTGACTGACGGAGTCCCAACTTTGCGATCTTCCTCTCTTTGGTACGGTCTAATACTTCCCGTCACGTCCCAACCTCCCGCTACTGCTTGCTTTCATCCGATATACATGTGGATACAGTACTGACCTTCCGTTTTTTTTTCAAGATGGACGCGCTCGTTGTTATTGCTCGAATGCATTGCACCGCCGCGCACTTTACCCCACTCTCCCCTTAGCCTACGGCAAAACAATACAACATATCTAGACGGTGTTGATTTATCTCTGCGGTAGACAGACGGGAGAAGCCCTCAAAGCGAACTAGCTGTTCGTCCTCACTTGAAAATGATATTCGTCACGAATTCTTGGGACGGGACGAGTCTCTGGTTGATCACTCGGAATCACCAAGCTCGGCCAGTCAGTGGAGATTTGGTGCTACCCGGTGCAAACTGGACAACATTCCAAACAAGCTCTCAAGATCCTCTTGCAGGCACAAACAATAACACATAGGATAGCTCGAAGCGTTTTGGCTAGGGTACGTAGGGTGATTTCATGGTATGGATGTACTCTCTCTCACTTCAACCAACGTCAATCTACTTCCCGTTCCGCCTTCGAGCTTGTTTAATGCTTGTCATTAGGTGCATACGTTCCTGGGGACGAGAGGGGTATCCACATCATCATCATGAGAGGACACTGCGAAGGTGTACCGATTCAGGTAAAAGTCAATCGACGGATACCCTGCGAATCGGGTCCTCCTTAACACTCTCCACCCACAGACTTTACCCTCAACTGGGAACCTCTTGTGGCCAGGATGGGTAATTCGATGGAAGTGTCACAAGGTTCTTTGTAGGATCGACTCCAAGAGATGTTCTCAGGACTGACACACATACATTGTGTCCTTGGGAAAATATCCAAGTCAGGAGCGAAAGTGTGCACCCAAGGAGATTCGAACCAGTATCCCGCTGACGCCATGTGCGAAGGTGTACCGATTCAGGTAAAAGTCAATCGACGGATACCCTGCGAATCGGGTCCTCCTTAACAACACCATGGCTCGATCATATGCCGACCACGCGAGGCTTGTAACCTCTATGTAAAGCTCCGGTTGCATGCTGCCACTGGCGTTTGTGGCACGGTTGAAGCAAACAGAGAGTGAATTTATCGCCAATATTCCTCACACAGATGCCCAGGCTGCCTTCTTCTGGTTTTTGAGTTGGAAATACGCCCTCACAAGCCACACCAAACCCGAACACGGAGAGAGCCGTTCTTGTACATCATAGTACTGTACTCCGACAAAACTGCATGTCCATTTATACCTGCAACACGCAGACAACCATGAAGGTGCCGCCTCCTGCATATGGTTGTGACTGTCAGATCACACTTTTCGTTGTACTTAAACAGCTGGAACGAACAGCTCTCAGCTCTTGGCCATGAATTTTCGTTCAAAGGAAAGAGCCTCGTTAGCTTCTACAAATGTTTAGAGAACCTGGTTGTAGAATACACCGCAGCAGGACACCCAAGGCGCTGGAAACCACACAAGCGGTGTCGGAGTCTTTAAAAACCTCGTATTCAGTACGCAGTTGCGACTTCAGAAAAGCGGGACCCCACCTGACCATGGAGAGCCTTGTGAAGAGGTGAATCGGGGCTTCTCAGGTTAGTTTAAGTGTGCACCTTGCCTCAACAAGGACAGAGCGGCGCATAATTGTGGATAGTGAAGCATCACTGCACTAGGGGGGGTCAAGGATGGCCACAACACAGATGGGCATTCTGCGCGTGCAAGAAAGGTGTGGCCAGAAAAGCTGGGGGGGGAGGGACATCACGGTAAATAGAACGACACCGCGCCGTGTTGCCTGTGAAGGCCATATTTTAATACGCACGACAAAACGGAGGGCTTCTCCCCGATAACTTTGTTGTTGACCCAGTAAAGACCTACGGGAGATGTGCCATGGAGTATATCCACCTGTACAGATGCTTTTGTTCTTAGGTCGACCCTAAGGGTCGTCCTAAACGACCTCGGAATTTTACCTGCGATCGCAGGTTTCAGACCCCGGATCGCAGAAAAATACATGCGGGCGTCTTAATCGAAGCAGAGCACAAAATTTAAAAACCTGCGATTTCTGCGATTTTGGCGGTCAAACCGCTCCCGACGACCGCAGAGGCCGTACACAACAGCAGAGGCCGTACACAGCAGACAAACATCCACCATGGCCGACCAAAACAGTGTGACACCGCGGGTATCAAGGCCCAGGAGGGTTGGGTCCCTTCCTTTACGATTCCAGACGAGCGGGGAAGCAGTTGGGTCCTCGCTTCTCCAAGTCTTCCACATGATCTTCCCAGACAAGACGTCGGGGATTGTAGACAGGTGCCCGCTGCTGCGGCACGTACAGCTCAGCGGTCTGTGCTCCTGCCGTTGCAACACCGACCAGGACAAGGAAGGCCATCACGGCGGCCTTGATCGCAGCAGCAGTAGAAGTCGTATCATGGTCTCTTTGGTCGGAGCGCCGCAGTCGCCGCCTTTGCGGAGCCGTCTGTGAGGTTCCCCGAAGCTCCCGGCGCCTTCTATTGTCGGCCATGGACCCTAGCGTACTCTGACGATCAGTTCTGGGGGTTATAGTGCAGCTACGGGGGTGATACAGGTGGCTTGGTGTGCTGTGCCCGATCCAACGTGATGCTCTCAAGAGAATCGCAGAAATCGCAGGTTTGTACCTGCGATCGCAGAAAAGGAGCAGAGGTGATTTTTTCGGCCCTGCTCCCGACCTGCGATCGCAGGTAAAAGGCCTCCATATTCGCAGGTAAAACCTGTCATCGCAGGTTTCGCAGGGTTTTTTTGGCCTGTTCAGCACCAGTTGGTATCACTGATATCATTCAGGGTTCCAGACTCAAAATAAACCCCGTTTTCGTGCTGATTTCCCTCCATCCACTGAAAAGACTTCAGCGCATCCTTTTCGACTATGGTTATACCTCGAACGGGTAGCTTTTCTACGAGATCATGTTTTCTTTCTAAAAATTCATCATGCGTTTGCGCCCGACACTTTGCCGCAAAAGAAAACGCACACATGTGGAGACCACCTTCAAAACGTTTGAAACTTAAACTTCCCTACGTCTGTCGAGGACGGAATTCACTTTTCCGCAATAACGTCGACGAAGAGGTATCGGATGTTTGCTTTTGGTTGCAAGAGATACGGGTTCCAAACCCTCTGATCACCTAACTTTTTTCCGGGTGGGCCAAGAAACGATCCACTGTCTATCGAACTCGAAACTTCTGGCAATGCGTGGCGGAAGTGGCGCACCCGCACACACGCACAGAAGATTGTTGGGAAAAAAAAGGTGGTTCTACTCGCCGCCAGCCGGCCGGGTTCCGGTTACCCCAAGAAGACTTCTCTTGTCTAGCAAACAAGAAGAAGTCTCGAAAAAGGGGGGGTAATGTGGAGACCACCTTCAAAACGGTTGAAACTCCCCTACGTCTGTCGAGGACGAAACCCTCTTTTCCACACACGAAACGTATTTTTTATTTTTCAGGTTTGAGGACGCAGTAAAGATACGCCGACAAAAACATTTTTTGTGTTGCTTGTTTTTGTTTTGGGCTTTTTTTATTTCTCAGGTTTGAAGACGCAATATGTTGATCAACGTGTCTCCTGAATTTCTTGCGAATTCCTCACGTCGTTGTTGCAAACTTTCAGAGGACTCGGGTAGTCATCGTCTGCCTCGCCAACGCCGAAAAAAACACCACACCGCACAGGCGAGGTCGCCAACGCGTCATCCAAAAAACCTTGTGAGCCTCCATAACCGAGCGAATGACTGATGACCAAGCCATGTGTACCAACCGCAGGGAAAATTGCTTCTATCTCGTGCTCAACCACGATTATCAACAGGTCCAAGTGCACGGGAACCCAGAGACGTTACCGGGCTAGCGAATACACATCCATCCACCTCTGTGTCCACCCCAGAACATTTGGGATTCCCTTTGACAATCTTAGGTATTTTGGTACACACCTCGAACGAAAATATCGCAGTCTCTGCCATCGAGGCCGTGCGCTCAAAGCAAACGCTGTGAGGATTCCCTGCGACAACTTTTGGGTATTGTGGTACACACCCCCAACGAAAATATCGCAGCTGCTGCCGTCGAGGCTGTACACCCTGACGAAACGCTGTGCTACGTGACCTGCATCACCTGTGGATGCTACACAACGAATCTCCTCCAAGTCTCGATTGCCCCCCTGCGATATCACCTGTGATGTCACTCACCTCGTCGAGACACGATGGTACCGACAACATTATTATTCTTTTTTTTGTCTCCCATCATTGAACTCTGTCGTCTGCCCCTCTGGCCCCTATCCTCCACTTCTACCAGCTAGTCGACCCAACGGGGTCACATAGGAGTGGGGGATTGGACCCCCTTCTGCGGTTCCTGCCTGAAATATTTTTATCGCGAGAAGGGTACAGCAGCAGTCCCTTCCCTGACGACTTGTGAAGTCGATCAAGTTTAAGAACAACGAGCTTTGCAGCGCGTCGCTTCCAACGGAGACCAGGAATTGATCAGCGAGAAAAAATTCACTCTGTCGGGACTCGAACCCATGACCTGGCCCTTTACCAGACTGCAAGGCTACCCACTAGACCACCGGGGCGACCGGTGATAGTACCAGCATTGTGCCCAACTGAATCCTGACCTAATGCTCCGCCCCTCCTCGAGAACTACAACCTTCAACGGATTGGCGCAGTTCGCACCACACTCTCGCCTCGTGTCCCGTTACTGCGGTCTCCTCTGCATCAGAGTGTCATCTCAAGGATGACGAAAGATTCTGTACGGTCATCGAATGTGACAAATCTCCGGCGAAGGGACAACATCTACCGACCAGCTTCAACACATGCGACGAATTCCTTCTCTATTTGGTGCTCGCCGCTTCTTTATCGACTCGCGCATGTTCCGCACCTCGCCGGGAATCTGATTGTGGACAAGCTTCCTCGAGGAACGTCGAAGTCCTGGATAAGTGTGACAAGAGGTGTCGAAAAGCTGACGAATACTGACCCCCCTGCATCGCATCACACGTCTCTACGGGGTATTTCGAACGATAAGTCTGAGCAATGTGCGCACTCTCCCACTTCAGCTGCCTCACATATTACTCACCCACCAAAACAACCCTGCCTGAAAAATTCCGGTGCTCCTTCGCGACAAACATCCGAGCTCAACGCACACCATGATGACGTTGCTTCATTCCTGCGAACACCCTTCCTGGATACCTCAGCTCCGCTCGTCCCTTCGAACTCCTAGTAGGGTCCCGTCAGGCCTTTCGATCCCTTGACCAGTCGGAAAAAAAAAGCACCTTTCTCGAGTTATTGCGACGCCTTTGCCCCTGATCCAGACAACTTTACGCCGGGCCGGTGGTTGTGAAGGCCGTCGCCGGGGTTTTTAAACTCTCCGAAAAGACAGCCCATGAGCATCACTTCGCCGTTGGAGTATTTCTCTTCAACTGTGTGACCTGGCGTTTTTGACGGCGTACAACTCCACTCACTCCTACGCGAGCTGTGATTGACAATCACCAACACGCTAGTCAAGTCTCGGGAGTCCTCTCCATTGGGGTATTCTCCAAGAACCGAACCGGAACCTGCCGAACAGCTTTTAAGGCTAAGTTTGTTGTCGTGGACGGAACAGGAATACCTCGATTGCACCCGAAATACTGTAGTTAAAAAATGCATACTTTTTGGAAACGGGGTTCCGAAGAACAGACCTCGGAGGCGGGTGTGGGAAGCGTTCCCCGTTCTCCTTTTATTTTATTTTGATCGGTCACCTCGACGCTCTTTCTCGTTTGGTGCGGTAGCTGGTCTTTCTTTTATCATTTTGTTTCTCTTCCGAGTGGTTTTTGTACCCTATTTTTTATTGTTTCTTCGTGGGGTCGTGGTTTTGAGACCACGGGCTCCCAATCTTTCTTTTTTTAGAGCTAATGTGAGAAACAACAACAAAAGCCTCGCGTACTCCCTTCAGGACACTATTGGGTAGTGCACATACGTCGTAGTCATTGGTCGCTACGCCTGAGAACGCGAGAGGGAACTACGCCGTTCATGAGCACGCCGAAGGATTGAGGCGCTGGCCAACATACGTACGTAGGTGACCACAAAGTAGTGTCGTTAACCGCCCACCCATCCCCCTTTCGAAGATGGCAGGCGGGAAAAAAAAACTCCTTGGTTTCTAGTGTTATCCGTGGGGTGGTGGGGTATAGTTAAATGTTCGAGTGCCATTTGGAGATTCGGTCGTTCCGACCGCTGCGTGATTTAGTATACTGGTCGGATTTCCCCGGCTAGATACAGCTGACTTTGTGAGCAGAGAGAGAGAGATGGCTTTGAAGGGAATCAGGCGCGATACCTGCGTCTTTCTAGCGCTGATTCCTACCCCCCCTCCCTCTCTCTCTCTATCCCTGGTGATCTAGAGACCGAGCAGCATGAAGTAACTCGGAAGAAGTAGTCAAGGGTTGAAACATGAGACATCAGACCTACCTTTCGTTTGCCTTACAGGACCAACATGTATCTAATGCAACCGTTCGGTGTATTGCTCATGCACTAATTTCCCTTTCCCGAGCACACAAGAGGACGTTGAGCTACCCACCATCCGTCCGCGCTTCTCATGCATCACATCATCGCTGAAGGTGGGATCATACACACAGCTGGTCGGCACGCATTCGTTGACGTAGAGCCTAACACAAGTGCATAACTCCACCCCTACCGAACGTGTTGTGCGAGAAGGGCGTCCAGAAAGCGTTTATTGATGATGGGGCGCCACACAGAATCTGACCGAAGGGCTTCTTACTCTCGGAGCTTCTTGGATCCATCCATTAGTGAGGAGCTTCTCCGGATCGGCGAGTCGGGCGTGATAATTCATGTCTTTTGCAAGCAGAGGATGCAAGCGGAGGAGGCCGAAGAGCCGGGACCAAACAAAAAAAACAGAAGGTCGACGGATTCTCATCCGAAGCACAAAGGGTAAAGTTTCGACCTTTGCCAACGTCACGAGTGAACGTCAAGCACCCCCTCAAAATGATGGGGCAATCACATTTCAGTGGCAACGGTTTGTCTATCTAGTCTACCAAATTGAGAAACACTCCGGATGTATTTTCTCATACTATGCTTCCTCCGAATCTTTGCATTTATCTCCGTCTCTCACACGAAGTTTTGCAAAGGTTTTTACTTGCAGTAACATAACACCCATAGACAAGACCACTGCTGTTGCTACATTTGTTCACGTATCATAAGACAACGCACGAACATGTTGCGGAACGCTGCAAAGTGAGGTTACGATTTCTGATCTTCAACAAGTCCTCATTTCTCTTCCAGCTGATGGCACGTCACCGCTGACGATGGAGCGCACTTGTTTTATCCCCATCAACATCCGTCCCTCCATCTGGCCCGGTCCTATGCCGGCGGCGAACGAAACGATATGCATGCATGATGCGCATGAGCGCAAGAGGGTACCCGCAGATAAGTTCTCGCAAAATATAACCACAGGTGGCACCGATCTCGTCGCCGGAGCCCCCCACACCCTCTGGCCGGCTGGCCGGAGCAGAGCTCTCGCCGTTGTCATTGTTGTTCGGACTAGTGTGGGCGAAGGCAGAGGGGCACCTACCCAAGGGGCGCGTAAGCAGCTTCTACTAGAAAACCCTTGCTGTCGGTGTCGCCGCTCTCCGCTCTCCTTACGCCCTCTCTCCTCCGAAAAGCTCGGCTGCAAGGATGCCGAGGAAGGCGAAGCCCACGAAGCACTCCTCAGCGGAGCTCAACAAGCGGGCAGCCGCCTCATTGGTAAGCGCGTTTGGTTTCGGAACATGCAGCTCGACCCCGGATTGATTGTTGCTGGTTGCCGTCTCTCCTCCTTTGGTCTGCCATCGTTGGAGCTGCTGCTGGTGTTGCCATGAACGAGAGGTTTTTTCCTAGGTCGACGTGTCTCTGCTTCAGGTGCAGCGGCCAAAGATGGGATGGACTGCTGCGAATGACTGCACCTCCCACCCCGCAACCAGCACTAAACTAGAACTTGACGGGCCCATACATGCGTTGCTCGAGCGCCACACGCGAATCGATGGTGGCGCGGAAGGCGTAACTTTCTCCTAGCCCCTTGCGTTCGGAATATTAACACACGAGGGCGGGGTTTGTTGGCACAAAGTGCTCGCTGCGCACGCCGCACCAGACGGCGGTGGACACAATTTCGCCGCTGCGAGAATGTTCCGGCCTCTGACGGCGACCAAGTCGGCGCCGCTGGTGACTCCTGCTACCTACCTGACACAGCCCTGTTCATCCCAAGGGCATTGCAACAGTAGTCGGCGTTGATTGGCTTGTAGAAGAACCTGACAGGTATACGGCACAGCGGACACGTGTGCCTTCCTCCTTTTTGGAGTGGGACTTAACCATGTCTCGGCGCTATTTCCTCCCCCAACTTCAAAGGCAACGCTATTTAGAGATAGGGTGAAAGCATTCTAGACTAGCATGCCGATCGGGAGGGGGATGCGGCTAGGACCATGGCCATCCGGCCACAAGAGGATTTTTCAATATCCGACTGCAGAGACGACAGACTCGAAGGTTAATCCGATATGTGTCCAATGTTCCAACTTCTTTGGTACGCATTACATGCAGCTTATCGATTTGGGCGAGTTCAAGCAAGGCTTGAAAACTCTCCTCTCCTGCTGGTGCTTCGGAAAAAAAACATACGAAGAACGCCTCTTTGGTTTCCTGGAAGAGCGCCTCGCCTCTCTTGTGCGAAGGCCGAGAGAGAAGTCCTGACCGAGCTTGCTTGTATCCTTACCGGTGTGTTGGCGTCACCCGTGTTGCGGCCTACAAGTGTACAAGTTATGCCCCTGGAGTGGGGGCTCATGAGAGCACAGCCGTGTCATCAAGGAGGGAGGCAACATGAAAATATTAGCATGCAGCAGCACCAACTCACACACCTGACTGCCAGCCGCGGTGTGACGTTTCCCAAGCTCAGCAGCTCACACAGCTTGCGTGTTTTTTCACTCGAACAGCCCAGCGAGCCTCAACAAACCCACCAAACAGCAAAGTAAACAAATCTATCTGCACTCAGCAGTCGTATTGGTGCTGGATTCCTATACCATTGTGTATCCTGGGACGCCACGTTCATGCGCGCCTAATTCAGGAAGGAACACGATCAATCTGCTAAGCACTCCACCTTGCAGCATAGAATATCCGTCCATGATGTTAAATCGACGCTTGTGCTCACCCTCCACCACCGCTATTCTTTGCGCCCCCGTCACGACCGCGGGCACATCAGCAAAACAAGGGGGGAGGGTTGGCCGGGCTCGCGGACAGAAAAGGGGGCGCCGCGGGCCACTCTCGGTTCTTGTGCACAATCTGTGGTGTCCAGGCTCCTTCGCTCACCAGTATGAAGGTGTGTGTGTTTGTTGTTAGCATCGACCGCGCTATCCGGCAGGCCGATGACTAGACCGTCAGTCTTGCAGCGGGGTATGAAGCACGCGAACACTTTCTTATCGATGTGTACAGTGAGGTTTCCGCGGACGTAAGGTGGTGCAGGAGTTGTGCTCGTATCTGTGTGTGATTTTTTATTTTCATACGTACATATTACCATGGGCGACACTCACCGATTGAACAGCGAAAGGACTTCAGTCTCAGTGCGATTGAAAACAGACCATGCTTGTCTGTGTATGTTGTGCCGCGTCCGTGTGGTTTGTTTGGTTGGCTCCGTCCTCGATCTCATCCCCCGTCCTCCTAGAATGTATTCCCTTGTGGCAGTCCTGCCGGCGAGAGTCTCGGGTTACCATCATGCCACTTTTTCCAATGAGAACGCCATGCTTGAAAACGTTTTGTGCTTCCGTTGTGATAACGGTGGTGTCTGCGGTGAGCGGTCGGCCTGCGTAGGCCATCCGAGCGCCGTCCTCGGTATTAGCAAGTAGGAAGCTCTGCTACTGAGGAGGGGGCAGAAGGGTCGAGAACACGTAGCTTCAGAGCGCGGTCCTTTCCACAGCCCTGCACAGCCCCTTTCAACCGCGATGAGGAACACACGAGACTATCCACTAGCACAGCAACACAACAGATGGACGGTCAACAAACCTCCGAAGCCAATCAGGGCAAGTGAAAAAAGCGTATATCATTCTGTCGTGATTACGGGTTCGTTCCAGCGGCCGTGCACTTGTTGCGCGTAGGCCCTCCCGGGACCGGGGCGAGAGCCTCCTGGTCTTGCATGATGGCATTGCGCCTGGCGATGGCGGGTCACGTCCACCCACCAAGTTGTGCACGGCTGCTGGAACGAACCCGAACCGCGACAGCCTTAACATGCGCTTTCTTGACTTGGGCCGTTTGGCTCCGGGGGTCTGTTGACCATCCATCTGTGGTGCTGCTGTGCTAGTGGATGGTCTCGTGTGCTCCTTGTCGCGGCTGCAAGGGGCTGTGCGGGGCTGTGGAACGGACCGCGCTCTAAAGCTAAGTTTTCTCAACCCTTGCATGTCCCCACCTGAGTGACGCGTATTTCCAGCCGTTTCATGAATACTTTTGTTCCGGTTCCGAGGGGTATTTTTCCCAGGCTCGTACGCGCGCGCGCGCTGCACCGCTTACTGACGTAGACGTGTGCGTACGGGCACGTTCTGGCTCACATTCACACGAGAAGCGCACCCGACTGTTTTAGGGCCCCGAGCTTGCTTGGCTCGGAAGCCCAAACCACTTATTCAGCATGGTTGTTGCAGCGGAAACCGTACCAACTGTAAATCTTCGGCAACAGCAAGAGTCACTGTCGTCCCATCATGCATCTTGTCTTTCAGTTCGTCCTCATTCGTACCAGCGCCGACTGCAACACCAACGCCGGCTTCAACGCGGTCCCCGGTAGCTATGCCAGACGCCAGTACGACCACTCATGACTCTTGCGCTCTCGTCGTCGTACCCTACGACCAAACGTCTGTTTCTGTTCGCACGCTCTCCAATGTGCACACCAATCTTGCAACAGTTGTTTCCTCTCTGACGGCACCCTGCGTATCGAACGCATGCAGTTGCCAGGACTCTTCATGTGTCTGTTTTCATCTTGTTCCGTATTCGCGGCGCCTATCTTGCCCTCCCCCGCCCCCCCC